CAGTACCCTTTTCATGGTGGAAACCAAATCAAGAACAGCGAAGAAGACGACATTCGCTTGTCTCTCCATATCTAGAAGAAGAAGAAACAGCAATGGTGTGTTTGAATCTGAAGAAACGGCGATGTTTGAACAAGTTGGTGGTAAAAGAATCTCGGTTTTGTGTGGGTTAGGTTATTGGGTACAAGGTTCAAGATGTTTCCCTTGGCTTGCACTTAACTTCCATATGGTTAATAGCCTTGGGCTCCAACCATCGACGCTTCAGCTTGTGCAATACTCTTGCAGTCTTCCTATGGTGGCTAAACCTCTCTATGGTGTTCTCTCAGATGTTATTTACATCGGAAGTGGCCGTAGAGTTCCTTACATCGCCATTGGAGGTTAGCTTCTCCAAAGTCTTTGTCTTTGTCTATGCCAATGAAGAATATTGTCGATTGTGGCGATTTTGGTCTCTTTAATATGTTCTGAAATCTTGAATGTGTCAGTGTTTCTGCAGATTTTAGCATGGGGTTCAATGGCGACGTTCCAAGGAGCTAGGGAAGTTCTTCCTTCTCTTATGGCATTTGCCATGCTTAGTAACCTTGGAGCATCAATCACTGAGGTTGCGAAAGACGCTCTTGTTGCGGAATACGGACTGAGATACCGAATAAACGGTCTCCAGTCTTATGCGCTCATGGCTTCAGCAGCTGGTGGAGTCTTAGGAAACTTACTTGGAGGATATCTCTTACTCAGAACACCTCCTAAGATCTCCTTTCTTGTTTTCACCGGTCTGTTGTCTCTGCAGCTCCTTGTTTCTCTATCTTCCAAAGAAGAATCTTTTGGTTTACCACGGATAACAGAAACAACCTCGGTTTTGAGAAGCTTAAAGAAACAGTTTTCGAATCTTCAAGAAGCAATTCAGGCGGAGGAAATCTCCAAGCCTCTGATTTGGGCAGTAGCATCCATTTCAATGGTCCCACTTCTCTCGGGATCAGTCTTCTGTTACCAAACTCAAGTTCTAAATCTCGATCCTTCGATTATTGGAATGTCGAAAGTGATTGGACAACTGATGCTTCTTTGTCTAACCGTTGTCTACGATAGATACTTGAAGACACTTCCCATGAGACCACTGATCCAGATCGTCCAACTCTTGTACGCGTTATCGATCCTCCTCGACTATATCTTGGTGAAGCAAATAAACCTCGGAGTTGGAATCTCCAACGAGGTTTTCGTGCTCTGTTTTTCTAGCTTAGCAGAAATCCTTGCTCAGTTTAAACTCCTTCCGTTTGCGGTCCGAATAGCCAATATGTGTCCTCAAGGCTGTGAAGGATCAGTAACCTCTTTTCTTGCTTCAGCTCTGTGTCTATCACAAATAGTTAGCGCATTCTTAGGCGTAGGATTGGTTAATCTGATGGGTATAACATCAAGTAACTATTCAAACCTACCTTCAGGGCTTGTCATACAGTCTCTAGCAGCTATGGTGCCTTTGTGCTTCATGCATTTTGTCCCAATGTCAGAAACTGTTGTTGAGAAAGAAGGTAGAAAAGGTATAAGCAAGAGAAGCAGGAGAAATCGACGAGTTGGGAGAGTATCACATCAAGAAAATGTTACTTATCGAAGAGAAAGAGAGTCAGAAGAAGTACAAAGATAGTGTAAGTATATAATCAAATCACAGAATTAGAATAGTTCTTTTATGCGGAAAGCCAAATGTAACCAAGAAGGAAAAAGGGGCTTACCAATGTTGGCCATGTATACTGAAATTTTCCTTTTTCCTATGTTTCTTGCGGCTATTGTTTCGCATCATTGTAATGCCAAATCGTTGGTATCACTGGAACAAACAACCATGACCATGGCAATAGCTACATTAGCCACTCCATGTATTCCATATCTTGCGATGATCCTATTCGAAGATGATGATCTAGTGGCTCAAATCCACTAAATGACTTGAAAGTGTGAATGTTCCATCAAATCCCCTCATTCCCTAAAGCTCCTTATCGAAATCAAGACTTTCGGGATGATCGGCGGCATTCATATGTTGCAAGAGGATCACCGTATTGGCTTAAAGAAGTGTTTGACAATGAGAGTGTTTTAGCCTCTGCTTAGTGTTTTAGCCTCTGCTTAGTGTTTTTCCTTGCTTGAATTTTTGGCCTTGTGATTGTTTGTATGGTTGTTTATGCTTAGTCATGAACTCTTAACATATGTCACAAGGAAGTAGATATGGGAGGGGTATATCTTTCGGTTGTAACACCAATGACTCAGTTTCAGCTTTAATATAAAAACTTCAGATGGAAAAAAACAACAGAGATATGTATGTGTTCTGTAATCTATATGGCGCTTTTTCGGTAAAAATAAAAAATTTAAGGGTCAGAAGTGCAAAGTCGTTGAATTGTAAAAGCTTAATAAACCACAACAAATATGTAGAAAGTCATTTTTTTTTTTATCAAATATGTAGAAAGTCTAATCATGTTTAATCATTCCGGAATATAGATAGTAAACCAAAATATGTAGAAACCATAATGAACAAGGTAACCGAAAGACAGTAAAAACATGACTTAAGAGTCTAAGACTCATGATAATACCACAAGGTTGCAATGTTTGAAGTACTATTCCATAACAGCAGAGAAAAACAAAATACAACAAAATATGAAAGTTGTGATATACAAGAGAAAGTCAAAAATGATTGAGATCATTACGATGGTCTTGATGATTCGTTTCGGTTCTGCAAAACCTCCATCATAGCCGACAACAAAACATCAGTCTCTGGCTCATCCGGTTTATGCATGACAGCCATTAATGTTGCATAAGGGAGCGGGTTCATTGGATCTTCCTTTTTCAATAGATTGATGATTTCTATTAGCCTCGGATCAGGTTTCTTCTCAGCTTCGGGAAGTAGACTTAGATATATATAAGAGTCCACCAAGAATCACAATTGCAGCGATCAACCAAGCGTATTCCTCAAAGCGAGCGATGATTAAGCCAGAGCACAAAAACAGTGATTCAAATCAGCAGGCAGAATGGTAAATATCAGAAAACCATCTAACACCCCTAAACAAGCCATTGTTTCCATAGGTTACAGAACAACCGAAATAGTTAAATCGAAAGGCCACCAAAAAGATGATCAATTCCCAGAGAGACATGACAAGCTTTAAAATCAAGAGTTCATATATTCAACTTTGATCTCCAATAAACTCCTAACACCAACCTAAATATTCACCAGCATCTCTGATTAGGGTTATACTTCCTCAAGGCTCAAGTTTCAAATTTTCATCTCAAAAATTTTCTTTTTTTTTTTCTATTCTAGTCATCACTCTACAGTGAAAGGAAACTACCCCTAAAATCGCAACTTTTAATCTTCTGAGCTATATAACCTCTAAAATCGCAACTTTTCATCCGAATTCCATCACCCCTCACATGAACGATTCCAAAGATAACAAATTTAGCCAATGCGATCTAGAATTTCAGGGAACAAAAAGATGAAATGTGAGCGAGCTATACTACCTGCGGATTTTGTTTCCCTGACCGACATGGTACATTCCCCAAGCTAAGGCACCTGACAAAAAAATTCACCAATCATAACATTACTCTTCGGATTTATTTATTTGT